ATGATACCAAGTTCCCTGGCAACAACTGTTGTATCTTCAAATTTAAATTGTCTTGGATTGACTGTTAATAATAATAATGATAATGGGCCAGTAACATTAACCAACAACAGTCGAAGATAAAAGCACTCAGTGTGTCTTGGATTAACTGTAAATAAGCGTTCGATTTAAATAAATTGAGACATGCATCAACTGGTGAAACTTGCTTGAGGGGCATCCATTTTTTTGTTTGAGCCCATGTGAAATAGCGTGGTACTTGTGAATAGAGCATTGTTCTTGCAAAGGCACCGAAATCATCCGTACTATTACACAATTCAAAAAATGCAGTGAGTGTAGATTTAGGTGGATTTGGACCACGATCAATCACTATCTCGTTCGTGAAAAATACACGCTGACCGTTTTCAAGATGGACGGCTAACTGAACAGCTGCTGGATTCCGTTCATGAATTAGAAAACCGAAGACACGCCAAGCAGCTTCATTGGAGCTGATGTACCGACCAATTTGGTAGAGCGTAATTTCACCGTTTTGGAGGAGCATTTACATATGTATTTTCTACTCTAAACACAGCCATATCACTGCCTTTATGGACATACTTATATATTTGATGCTCTTCACAGAACTGCAAAACTAAACATTAATATGAGCATTGTATGTCTTGCTTAGTAGAGGCGAAACCGGCACCACCCGCCATTGTCCCCCATTATCGGGATTTCTTCGACGATATATTGGATATCCGTCAGTATTTGTTACAGTATCATTAGTGAAATCTTTAAAAAAATTTTTAGTACATTTTCCATCTACCATGCAAGGCGAAGACGAAGACGAAGAAACGAAGTGGATGTAAATTTATATCAAAAAAATAAAAAATTTTTTGTTAAAGCAATAAGGATATTTTTGCTGGGTAGGGACTCCCTAATCACTTTAGTGGTATGAAAAATAGATAGTAGCCGATTCTCAGACCTACTGAATACGCAAATAAAATTTGGTAAAAATCGGTAAAGCCGTTTCGGAGGAGTTCGGTAACTAACATTGTGACATGGACATTTTATATATAAGACCGCAAACAGACATCGTTTGGCCTTGTGACTTATTGATGGTCTTTGCAAATGCCAATCTAATGGAAAATTGAACACATTTGAATTAAATTGAATTAAATTAAAATAAAACTTTTTCGTTTCGGAACTTGCCATTCAAAATGGTGGCTTCGATAATGTTTTTCATCAATTTTTTAATTACCAATCGCGTACTATTGCATAGCCGTGGTGGGTTCAAATTCCGAAGTAAAATAATCGGTGATCCAACTTTCAGTCGTAAAATGTGTGGTGGCATGCCTGGCAAATCCAGTGAGTTTAAAAACTTTGCTGGATAGTTTACAACTTCGTTTTTATCACAAACTGTATCGATCGATTTGTATGATATTAAGTCGCCCGGCAATGTCTGTTTTATCTTGAAATTTAATTCATCAACGTCCATGTTTTTTTGCTGCTAATGGCTCTTTCTGCCAGCCACCCATGATTTATGTATTGTATGTGTACATCTGGAAATACACGGTCAATGAGAGCATTTTGGGAATCAACGATAGTGCAGAAATTAGGTGGCAGTTTTATGAATTCAGTATTTTCATAGACAACAACTTTTCATATCATAGCAAGTTTTCTTTTTCAAAAATATGAAAAAATTTATGTCAAAAAAATAAAAAAATTTTTGTTAAAGCAATAAAGATATTTTTGCTGGATAGGGACACCCTAATCACTTTAGCAGTATGAAAAATAGATAGTAGCCGATTCCCAGACCTACTGAATACGCATATAAAATTTGGTAAAAATCGGTAAAGCCGTTTCGGAGGAGTACGGTAACTAACATTTTGACAATCTTAATTTTATATATAAGATATATTTATCAGATTTATTTCAAGTTTATAATTTTTCTTCTTTTTAATTAGCAGGAAGAAATCTGCACATTATTAGGCATCCAAGAATGCCGAGACAAAAATAATTTTAAAAGCGAGATTTAATGTAAGCTGCTAGAGCTCAGTTTAAAATCTGAATTTTTATTACAATTTTCCAATCTATTTATACAAAAATGTTTTACAATGCTTTACAATAATTTACAAATATTTTCCTGATAATTTTAATTGCGGCGGCACTAAAAAGGTTGACCCACGTCAATGCTTAGAAAATATTATGACACATTCAAGTGTGTCATATCGACAAGTGCAGAATAGTAGCATAGAAAAGAAAAGTGTCAAATAGCAATTGCATACTTGCTATGACCAAATATTCTACTTGCATTGCGGTGGTTCTTCCGTGTGCGATCGCATTACATTAGTTAATATAAAATAATTTGTGCATAAGCACTTTCAAAAATACATGACATAATTTATTATTTGTTTTTGTTTACATTTACATAGTTGCGCTATACACAACACCGCTATCGTTAAAGGTTGGTGATCAGCTTCGATTTCAACTGAAACTATCTGGAATTCATAAGCTGTTAACTGAATTCCTTGGCGATGCTTCATGTTGTTCCGAAGTATAATTACGCTACTTCCTCGTGCACAATTATCTTTATGTATTGAGTGATAAGTTGCATAGTCTTTGAAATTTATGTAAGACAATCTAATAAAATGAGTTTCGGCTATGAGCCAAATATCAATATTTTTAGTATGGAGCAAAAGTTTAAGCTCATCTTTGTGTTTTAGGAGGCCGTTAGCATTCCATAACATTATCCTTGTAGCTTTAACCATCGTGTGGTTTTTTGGAGAGCATTTCTAGATTTTTTAAACGATTTTCAATCAGATTGTTGAATTATTCTTGCTTATTTAATTTCTCCAAGATTTGCATAACGATTGCATTTTCAGACTTCGGATTTGTGTTTCCAGTTTTAGTTATTTGTGCATAGGATTGCAAAGCCAAAATTGACTTCTGTTTATCGACAGGACTCTGTGAATTGCATGTCTTTAACACTCTTGGATGGAATGTTATTTTAATGCGTTACGCTTTTGGTTTCTTTTAACCGAGCTTGTCTTCTTATTTCGTAACTTTTGCAGGTCTTTTGCTACTACACATCCTCGATAGCTAGCTGGATGATTTTCTCCGCAATTAGAGCGTTTTGGTTGAATTGTTGGTGGTTTGTCACAATCAGATGTAGCATGCATTCCAGCACACTTCACACATCTAGGTTGTTTACCGCAATAGTTTTTTGTGTGTGCAAAATCTTAGAAATTTTTACATTGGTGCAAAATTTTCAATGGTTTAACTGATTCTACAACCATTATTGTAGCTTTTCTCTTCTTACTTGGTTTTGATGTTTTAGACTTTTTGACGATCCAATTAGTTTCCCAAGCTAATTCTTCCGCATCCGTTCCGTACTCAGCTTTCTGCTAGAATTTTTTTGTGAGATTTACAGTAATTTCTGTTGCTTTTAATCGAGAGTTTTTGCATTTTAGTTGAATAACTTCTAGTTTCAGCTTTTCGCAAAGTGTTTTTAGCTCTCGGATTTCTAAGAACAGTTTATTTTCATTTTCTGTCCGTTGTTCGCGTTTGTCAGATTCGTTTCCACCACCAGGAAGTGGCAAACCATCTCCGGTCATACTTATTTATAAGAGAAGAAGCAAAAATATAAATATATAATTGAAAGTTTGTTGAACTTATGATTTTATTCAATATTATTGTTATTTATTATTATTTAGCAAAGAAGATAAAGAAAAGAAACTGAGAGTTACTCGAAAAATTGTGTATAAATTTTTCTGAATTATTCAAAAAATATTCAAAAATTTTGTGTAATGAGGTGAAAATATTACGCAGTACAATAACAAAAAGCCTAATGCTACATAATGGCGCGTGAATATTTTCCCCACCCGGACCCTGCTACTTTGCCCACCCGGTCCCTACTCACCACGATATTTGCTAAAGTAAGAGAGGTTTCTGAGAAATTTCGTTGTTTGTTTTGGTTTTTTGACATTAAAAATCCGTTACGAGAAAATGCGCCAAAGTTGCAATTAAGTGCACAAATACCACATTACTAAAAGAAAAATAAGGCGGAATTTGTTTTCAATTATAAAAGCATTAAAAAAGGTAATTATTCCAGAAAAATATATGAATTATTAGTTAATTAAAATTTATTTACAATTGAAACGGAAGTGCGTACTTGGATGTTTAAATTTTAAACATCTCTACATTTTTCCAAAGAATTATCGAAGGTATATTATTAATTAAAAATAACGCAATTTATTGTTGTAGAATAAAGTAAATATATAAATGTATTAACACATTAGAAACTTAGATGTGTGCCTAATTAGTGTATATAATAAACTACGAATTATGTTATGTTGTGCTTTTATTTATAATTTAGTACTTTGAAAGTGATTAGAAAATTATTTGTTCCATGATATACTAATAATTATAAAAAAGGAAAAATCCTGAAGTGAAATTAATATTATTAATTGTACTTTGGTTGAGTGTTGTTATTATATATAGATATTTAAATTTATGTTAATTATATTTTAACAAAACACAAGTGTAAAAAATTATATGTTTTAAAAATATATTGTACAATTTGCGATTTTTTTTGTTTGTTTTTTTCTTCAAATCATACAGAAAAAAAACCTTGGACGTCCAGTTGCATTCCACTTTATAATATTGTTGCAGATTTTGTTGTTGCTTGAACAAAGTCTGCGATTTAGTCAATGTGATCTGTGTTTTTCGTAACTATTATCTTTGTATTAAATGTTCCTTAATAGTTCTCCAAACTGTGTTGCATGTTTTCATACAAATTTTAAGTAATGGTCGTTTTATGATTTTTATTATAGAAACGAGTGGAAGGCCCTGTTAGGAGTTACTGACTCCATAAAATATTTTTAAATCGTAATGCTTTCTCAATATATATATGTGGATGGCTTTTTTTTAAAATGCAAACGAATCATAATTGTCTGTCGACTTTTCCACCTCCACCTTAGTGACTGCTGAAACTTTAATAGTTTTTAAAGTTATTTTTTATAATTTCAAAATTAAAAACGGGATCTATGATTTCACTATTTATGTTTTATTCAAAATTAATTTGTTAAGTTCAATTGCCACTTGCGCACTTCACCGAACCGACCGTCTTAGTCTGCGAGTAAAATAAAAAGAAAGAAACCCAAAGGCAAAAGTGCATTGCACAACCGTATTAAAAGAAGTAAAGGCAAGCGTTGCCATATAGTTAATTTGAGATGAGCTTTTTATCGGTTGAAGTGCGCAAGTGGTGAATAGAGATTAGTATTTAACATTAATTCAAATGAAGTTAAAATAAATAAATTAAATAAAATAAATATGTTTGTAAATGTCTTAACACCGGCCACGTTGAAGCACCATAGGTGTTCAAGTTGGAAGCAACCCCAATTTGTGAATTGGCCTTCTTATGACTCCATTCTTTGTTCTAACGTCTACCACTCGTACCCTGCCGTCGCTCCCGACTACCGTACCTTGGACCCTGCCGATCAACCATTGGTGAGGGGGAAGATTGTCTTCGTGGACAACGACGAGACGGCCGACTGCTACGTTCGGCTGTTCCAAGATCCATTTGGTTTTTGTTTGCAAGTTGAGGATATAGTCCTTGGACCAGGCCCGCCAGAATCTGCGTTTGAGCTCGCATAGCAGCCGCCATCTCTGCGCATAATTCAGATTGCTGTTTTGCACGTCGAGCGTTGATTCTTGCGGCAGCGTGCGCAGAGAATCCCCTATTAGTAGATGTGCTGGTGTTAGTGCTTGACCGTCGTTTGGATCTTGGCTGAGAGGTTCGATTGGTCTTGAATTGAGAACGGCTTCCACCTGAATTACCAATGTTTGCAGTTCCTCGTTGGTTAGCATTGCGCTGCCCGCTGTTCGAAGTAATAGATGTTTCGCGGACTTTACGGCGGCTTCCCACAATCCTCCGAAATGTGGTGCGCGAGGCGGTATGAAGACAAACTCGATTCCCTCTTGTGCAGCATATGACACCAGCTGGTCTTTCTGTACTTTGAACGTTTGTTGCAGTTCTTTCAGCTCTCGGCAGGCTCCCACGAAATTTGTTGCGTTGTCGCAGTAAATTCGATCTGGCAATCCTCTCCGTCCCACGAACCTTTTAAGACAAAGAATAAAACAATTAGAAGATAAATTAGAGACTAGTTCAAAATGTACAGCCTTAGACGTGAAGCAAACGAAAACGGCAATGTATGTTTTAACTGGTGGTCGACCACGTATTTTTAATGTTGTATACATGGGACCACAAAAATCAACACCTGAAATCAAAAAAGGACGCGTTGCTGTGACTCGATCAGTTGGCAAATTTCCCATTATTTGAGTCAGAAGTTTCGGTTTATAGCGAAAGCAATGTGTGCAACTTCTTACAGTTTTACTGCAAGCTGCTTTCGCGTTAACAAGCCATATCTTTTGCCGCAAAATTGACCCTAACGCCTTGGGACCTGCATGACAATTATTTAAATGTAGATGCCTTAAGTAGATATTAATAAAATGGCAATTTTTTGGCATGAGGAGTGGAAACTTGGAATCATGGCTAATTGGGGCATTGAGCAACCGGCCTCCCACACGTAACAGTGTTACTTTATTGGGGCCACAATTTGTATCGTGCAGAAATGGAGTAAGTTTCTGCATGCCTGGTTTTAACAGTTGTTTCTTCATCAGTGCATATATCTCATCTTGAAATGCATTTTTTTGAACCTGTTCCACGACCTTTAAGAAAGCACCATTTAATTCTTTGACACTTAGGATTAGTGATATCTCTTTTTGACATTTCCTAGCGCGATTTATGAATCGGAGTATATACGCAACAATTCGCATGAGCTTTATGTATGATGACTGAGTACCGACTAATTTCAAAATTGCGTTTGAGGGTTCTTCCGATACGATGAACACAGCTCTTGTTTTCCTTGTTTCCAGAGATTCTTGCTCCGAAGTGATTATTGGCGCTATTTTAATTGGCCACTTGGCTCATCTTGTGACAGGTATTCAGGCCCAGTTTGCCAAATTGAACTGACTAGTTCAGTAACGTTACATCCTCTGGATACTATGTCAGCAGGATTGTGCTGTGACTGCACGTGTCGCCATGTTATATTAGTTGACCATTCTTGTATCTCTGAAACCCTGTTCGCCACGAATGTTGAAAGTGTTGACGGATGCGTTTTGATCCAATGTAGTGTGATTGTTGAATCGGTCCAAAAAACTACCTCGTCGATGTTGTGATGGAACATTACACGGATTCTATTCCACAATTTAGCAAGCAGATGTGCAGCGCATAACTCTAACCGAGGTAAAGATTTGGTTTTCAGAGGAGCAACTTTTGATTTAGCAGTAAGCAACTCACACTTGAAACCATTTGACGTTTCACATCTTACGTATAGACAGCAGCCATATGCTCGCACTGATGCATCAGCGAAACCATGAATTTGGCATTTAACATTAAAATGCAAATTAACATATCGCGGAATTGAAATTAAGTTTAACTGTTTCAAGTCATTCTTAAAGGCCTGCCAAGCAGTGTCAAGACGCATGGGTATGGATTCGTCCCAGTCAAGTTTCTGTAACCACAATTCTTGCAATAAAATTTTTGCTTTCACAACAATTGGGCATAATAAGCCAAGGGGGTCGAATAGACGAGCTGATATCGATAAGATATTTCTTTTTGTTGCACGCAAATTTAGGTAAGTGTCGTCCAACTGAAACCTAAACACATCTTTTGTGGTATGCCACTGTATGCCTAGTGCTTTCGTTGTATCAATATCGGTTATATTCAATGATTTTTTCAACTGCTTATCGTCCTGATAGGTGGGGTGGTTTGAGAACCATTTGGCTAACTGGAACCCAGCTGTCTCCAGAATTTGGGTGACTTGCCTTCGAATTGTTTCGAGTTCATTAAATGAATCTGCACCAGTCAGCAAGTCATCAACATAGAAGTCGGTTCGAATAACATTGGAACCAATTGGAAGCGTTGATTGATTGAGATCACTTAGATGGCGTAAACATCGAGTTGCTAAAAATGGTGCAGAGGATGTTCCGTATGTCACAGTGTTCAATTGGTAAGTCTTCAATTCTTCGTTTGGACTTTCCCTCCACAGAATGAGTTGAAAGTCGCGATCTGCCTCGTCAATCAAAACTTGACGGTACATTTTAGTAATGTCAGCAGTTAATGCATATTTATGCATACGGAAACGGAGCAACGTTGTGTACAATTCTTCTTGTATCGTCGGACCCACCAGTAATATGTCGTTTAATGACAGTTGAGTTGATGTTCTCGAAGAAGCATCGAAGACTACACGAAGTTTTGTCGATGTACTTTGTGGTCTTAATACGCACTGATGTGGTATGAAGTAGTGGGGAGATACAGAGAAGTTGCGAGTTGATAAAGACATGTGACCTAGATTTACGTATTCTTTCATAAAGTCCATATATAAATCATGCAGAGCAGCATCTTTAGAAAGTCTACGCTCTAGTGACAAGAAACGACGCTTAGCTGTCTCAAATGATAGCCCAAGGTTGCGGGAATCAGACTTGAAAGGAAGAGAAACTTTGAATCGCCCCGATGGTAAGCGTTGCACTGACGACAAGAATTTATCCTCGCAAAGTTTGTGCTCAGGTATGAGCGTGGCGGTTTTTTCACTATTGGGAATTTCTTCAAGTTCCCAAAATTTTTGCAACAATGAGCTAACTACAGTGTCATCATCTTGTGAAACAGTTAAGGCATTAGCATGGGGCTCAACATTTCTATTGCTTTGATATTTTCCAGACACAGTCCAGCCAAGTAATGTTTTCTGCAGCGTGGGGAGATTCGGACTTTGTTTTATTTGTCCGACTGATAGAAGTTCGAAAAACGTTTCAGCACCAAGAAGAAGATCAATTCTTTGTGACTTGTAGAAATATGGATCAGCAAGCTCAATGTTTGCCGGAATCTTCCAACTGGCGGTAGATATATTATGATTTGGTTGGTAGGTGGATATTGTTCGCAATACCCAAAAATCGGCTGAGAATTCATGAGAATTGACTCGCGATCTCACAGTCGCATGTAACTTATGCTTAACTGTGGTATTTATCTTACCAATTCCAATTAAATTAAGGCATCCATCTTCCCTTCTTAACTGCAATAGTTGTGCAAGCTCCTCGGTCATGAAATTTGTTTGAGAACCGGAATCAAGTAAGGCTCTGGCTGTTCGGTACTCTCCAGACTTACTCTTTACAGTAACTAGTGCTGTCGCCAAAATTACCTGGTCGCAATTAGTAGCACTATGATTTACAAAAACGCGATCGGAATCAGAACTTGCAGTTGCGTGAGGGATAATTGGAGTGTATTTGTGCAGTAGTGTGTGATGTTGTCCCGCACACACTCTGCAACGTGATGATTTACATGCTGAAACAGAATGCCCTTTTTTTAAACAGTTTATGCACGCTGGAATTGCCTTGACTGCGTCGAACCGTTGTGACACAGGCAATTCAGCAAATGATGTACACTTCGTTATCATATGGATATTAGACATACAATATACGCATTTGGGATCATTGGATTGATTCAGCTTGTTGCAGACAAAGGAGGATTTAAAGCTGCGTTTGTCCCGTTTAACACCGGGTTTTTGGTCACACTCTGGCACTGATTTTTTATGCTTTGTAGAAGAGGTCTCGTCCGCTGATAGATATTGGAACCTTTTATTAAGAGCTGCTTCACAGTCACTCCATAATGGCAAAGTGTTGTAGTCCAGCTGTTCTTCCCATTTTGATTTTGTGACTGAATCCACCTTTTGCATGACTAAATGAATAAGAATTGCATTGGTGATATTCTTATCATCTCCTATTGAAAGAAGGGAATCATAGATGGCAGACACAGTGCCAATTGTAGTGCGCAAAGATGCAGCAGACGGTTTGTGAATTACTGGGAGATCGAAAAGCTTACTAATATTGTCGGAAAAAATGAGACAATTGTTGTCGTACACCTTCCTAAGACTGGCTAACGCTTTTGGGTAATTCCTCTCAGTGACTTGAAAGGCCTTCACAGTACCAAGAGCTTCATCTGACAAACATGACAGTAAATGGTTGAATTTTTCAATGTCCGTAAGAGTTTCATCACTATGAACAAGGCTTTCAAACAAACTAATGAAATTTTTATAATCACAGTATTTGCCGCTGAATTTTGGTAGTCGCATGCTTGGCAACTTCGATTGCGGTCGACCACAGTGGTGCGAGATTGCAGGGGCGCTAACAAGGCGATGCTTTTTCAACTTTTGTAAAAACAAGGATTTAGTTGAAACACAAATATCTTCTAAAACAGCCCTATAGTCATCAGTAGGATCCAGGTCAAATATTTTGCTCTGGTATTGCATCGCTTTGTCAATGTACGAGTCAAGTATTTCCAATCTACACTCTAGCTCACTAGGACTTTTTGCAACATTGCCTTCTAGTAAGTTTGCCTTTAACCTTAAAATGTCGGCAACTACTGCTTCTCGATTATGGATCAAGGTTTCTACCCCCTTTGGAGATTGCAAAGACTGTGATCGCTTTTTAGTAGGCATTTCAGAAAATAAATAATTACAAATAACAACAAAAGAGAAAAATATTTTGTACTAAATGAATCGACGTGCTTCACGTTTAGCTGTATTGTATATTTCGTTTATATTCGTTGTTAATAGAATGCAGTATAATGTAAATGATATATTTTTTATTTATTGTTAATATATAATTCAATATAATGTTAATAATGTATATTATATTTTTTGTTAATATAATGCAATGTACTTGTAATCAAAAAAGAGAGAATGCAGATGGCAGTGCTGTTAGGATTCTATAATGAAGGAAAATTGTTATGCTTGCGGTGATTTTGCCGCTGTAATTAAATTTTATTTAAGCACTGTCCCTCATCTACATTTCTATTACCTGACAATCCTTTGGTCTCCTATTACAGCAACAGTCCATTGATTGGAAAATTTGAAAAACAGCGATGTTGGTGAAACAGCAGTAGCGGTACCGTTTATTTAATAAGATGATAAACGTGGTCCGTAAAGCACCGTTGCGGCTTTTGGCAGCGATGTGGTGACACAGCAAATCGGTGAAATTATTTTACGGTACCAGTGCCGTTTATTTCCAGAAAATGATAAACGTGGTCCGTGAAGCACCGTTGCGGATTTTGGCAGCGATGTGGTTACACAGCAAACCGGTGAAATTATTTCACGGTACCAGTGCCGTTTATTTATGAAAAATGATAAACGTGGTCCGTAAAGCACCGTTGCGGATTTTTGCAGCGATGTGGTGATACAGCAAACCGGTGAAATTATTTTACGGTACCAGTGCCGTTTATTTAATAAGATGATAAACGTGGTCCGTAAAGCACCGTTGCGGATTTGGATAGCGGTATTGATGAATTTGCGATGCGGTGCCAGTACCGTTTATAATTAATAAAAAAAAGAAACGTGGACCGCGTGGCAATGATAATTGTTTTTTACAAATAAAAACACTCACGATAAAAAACAGATTTAAAAAAAACACTTTAAAAAAACACTTTAAAATAGTCCCTGCTCGGGCGCCATGCTGAAACTTTAATAGTTTTTAAAGTTATTTTTTATAATTTCAAAATTAAAAACGGGATCTATGATTTCACTATTTATGTTTTATTCAAAATTAATTTGTTAAGTTCAATTGCCACTTGCGCACTTCACCGAACCGACCGTCTTAGTCTGCGAGTAAAATAAAAAGAAAGAAACCCAAAGGCAAAAGTGCATTGCACAACCGTATTAAAAGAAGTAAAGGCAAGCGTTGCCATATAGTTAATTTGAGATGAGCTTTTTATCGGTTGAAGTGCGCAAGTGGTGAATAGAGATTAGTATTTAACATTAATTCAAATGAAGTTAAAATAAATAAATTAAATAAAATAAATATGTTTGTAAATGTCTTAACAGTGACCTTTCAGTAACCAATATTTTCATCATAGAAAAGCAATTCCAAAATTGCCATTAAGTTCAACCACCTCCTCCTTTTACTACATAGTATATTGAAAAATTAGAATCACAATTTTCGGATCAGTTCGATAGCAATTGCTATAAATTAGGTTTAGCGCAACATTTATTTAATAAATTAGAAAACGTTCATCCATATATATGTATATGCAAAATTGAAACTCTTCTATCTTTTTTCATTAAAGTAAGAATTTACTTCATTTTAAAATATTTCAATCGAGATAATAAAGTGTCGAATTTTAAATATAAACAATTATGCTTTCAACACTTATAAACAGTACAAAAGTGTTCATATTCTTTAAGTGATTTTTTGCTTAAACAAAAAATATTTTAGTTTTAATTTTATAATTTATTAAATTTATTTATAATTTATCTTTAATTTAATAGTTCCTTATTATTTTTGGTTTAATATTAAATATTTTTAAAATAGTAATATTATTTTGTATATATTAAGTTATTCTAAATTGTATTTACATAAAATTGTATATTTGTTAAATAAAATATTATGGTGGATAGGCCTATTGGGGAACCGAACACCTAAAACTCGGTAACACGCCAGCAAGCATACCTCTTAGGTGGTGCGGAAAATGCTTATATATTTAATATTTCTTCTAACACTATGCGATGAAATTGATCCTTATTGTTTACAATGTTGTTATTAACTAGTTAAGAATTTCTTGAATTTCATATACAAAAAACATTTCACCTTACTGAAAGGATTGCTTAAAACTACAAAAAATATGTAGTAGTAAACAGTATATACATTTTTACGATTTTCTATATTGAAAAAATTTGATGCACAAGCAAAAATTGTATTACAATATATCAAACTTTTTTTGAATTTTAAAAAATTATATTAATATTAATCTTTTTAAAACAAAATATTAAAACAATGCAACCTAATATTCGAAATGTATGAGCACATACTAACTTTTCTATTAGATGCTCAGCATATATATAAATATAGTACGTATATGTGCAACATAATTAAAAGAACTTTTATTTTAATAAATGCGATACAATTTTTTTAACTTTATTAAAACAATTTCATGACTAATAATATATACATATTTACATATATCAATAATAGCTACTTTATATTTACTATTGATTTTAGTTTACCGAATTGGTATATATATATTTTATTCATTTATATTTGATTTTTATAGCGCATTTAAAACTTTTATGTAAATTGAAGTAAAACTGATATAAAAAATCATGCCTATATTTACTCATTATAATCGTATTAATATATACAATGGATTTTCCAAGAACAATAATTTATACTATTTCTTCTAATTAGAAGAAATGGCTACATGCTAATATGCAACCACAAATGTAGTAAATATTTAAGTTATAAGCCACACCGTTTTTAATATTTGACGATTCTGGTATGGTAAATAAGTAAAAGAGATTTTCTTTGCGATATTACACAAAGAGGCACCATTATTCAAAATTTCCTCTCAGTTTCTTTTCTTTATCTTCTTTGTTATTTAGTATAAGGTTATTCCTTAACTACACAATTACACAAAAACACAAATTCGTGAGCTGTGATTAGTTTAGTGTTCTGTCCTTTTACAACACTTAATATAAATTATTTTGAGCTTTTAAGTTTCATTTGCTGCCTCTACCAGCTGTTTTCAAATGTATTTGTTTAAGAGGTAAATAAATTCAAAAAACAAAGCAAAAATTTATTTTTTTACTGAAAGAAATGAATATAATAACTTATTATTTATTTATTTAATATTCGGAAACTATTATTTTTTGTTTTAAGTTTTGTTTTAGATTCAATGTTTCGATTCTTTTTAATAAGATTTTCATTACCCTTTTTGTTTGAAAGTAACAGAGTGAATTTTTTTGCGCACGCACTTGATGAAAACGAAAAATAAAACCTTAATATTATATAGTACCCTGATATAATATAACACAATATAAATTTTTTAATTATTTAAAATATAATTATTTAAAATTATATAAGTAAAAATTTTTTGTTGTTTTTATTTTTAGTTCATAAGTTAAAATAAAACTTGCTTAAAATTCGAATTAAACATCGCCTTATTTCTTTTCCATTTTGATTGTGGTCGTTTAGCGTTTTAAACTTGTTCTGAGACGACATTGAGAGAGACGACAATATTTGTCATTTTTTGTTTTTTGTATGGGATATATGTTTATATGTTTATTTACATGTATTTCAATATTTATTTTCTTTCTTTGTTTAGTATCTTATACACTGAAGATAGGAAGAAGTAGACCAAAATATTTGTAATATAAATAATTTTGTATGAAAAATAAAATATAACTAAATATTTAACACAGTTTAACAAAAGTGTAATTTTTTATTTTATTTAAAAAACATTTTCATGAATTTATTTGTTAAATGAACGAGCTAAGCCCAGTAACAAATATAAAAACTATTTGACATATTATTTTATTAAAAGCTCTTAATATTCAACAGCCGTCATCTACACCATCACTTCCAGCATACCATCGTGTACCATTGTCACCATCGTATCCGTACTGTTCCAGTATAAAAAGCTAAAAAAACAGATCATATGAAGAGGAAATTTTGGATGTTATAACGAATATAAAAGAATACAATGAAAAAATTATGAAACTAAAAGAAAAAACAATCTTTTACGCCGTTTAGATGAACTTGCAGAAAAATTACAAAATGAGTTATAACACTAAATATTTACAAAAAAAAAAAAATTTCAATAACGAACCAAAATATAATAGCAATCACGTCTCATATGTTTAGCTAAAGTTGTACTTAAACTTGTCAAACACTTTAGTATTACATTATTTGCGTACTCGTGTTGCATTTTATTAATATGTTCTAAGTGCTTCTCACATCTTAGTAATGAAATTTTCATTTTATTTAAAAATTCTTTTGTTGAATCTTTATTTTTTTTTTTGTTATGATTTCAGTATTAAAAATTAAATAGTTTATTTAAATTATTTATTTTTTGCACTATAATCAAAATATTTGCAAAGTTCGGCGTTTTGAAATTTTAACAACTGAAATTTCTATATGACAATCTTTTCTGACAATCAAATTATAATAATTTGCCGTGTAAATTAATATTTTTACTTTTTGACTCCAGCAGGCCGATTCTACTAATCGCTATCGCTAAAGTCACTAAAATGCATTTAAAGAATTTGAGCAACTTTTGCGATTCTACTAACTCATTACGCTTAATTTCTATTCGCTAATTTTCTCAACTTTCAAAAACAGCTGATTTCTCCGGAAAATCGCTAAATCCCCAAATTTCGTATTCTGCTAAATTGGCAATCTGTAAATGTCGTTAAAAACGACTAAAATTTCTTCTAATTTGATTGTTTTAGGCGACTAGGTTTTTGCTGTCGCTTAAAGTGAAAATATTATTTTTTAAACAAATTAAGCAATTATTTTGTACGTATTTAGTATAATATTCATATTTATTTATTAATTAAGTTATTGTGATAGAAATAAATTTTGCATTTAAAGTAAAATGAAAAAAAAAAATTAATATTACAAAAATTTTGTGGCAGTAATATAGTGAGAGTGCGTTTGGTGTTCAGCAAATGTAAACAAATGTATTATATTTTTCATATTTCATTTTTGAAATTGTACCAAAAATAAATGAATTGTAAGTGAAACAGTGAACAAAATGAATAATTATATACATATTTATACATATAATATTTAATATATTTTATTTATTATTTAATTTTCAGATATTTATGATGGAATTCGTGGTTAACGCATTATGTGCAATACCTCAAGGGTGATGTGGAAATTTGCGCTTTTTTTATTAATGAAATAATTGTTTATTTTTAAGGTTTTTCTTCCTCATTGAACACTGAAGATGGTCTTCAAATGGACCCAAATATTTGTAATACAAATAAGTTTTTATAATAACTAAAATACAATTAAATATTTAACACAAATTTATAAGTGTAATTTTTATGTGTTAAATTTACGACCTAAGGCCAGAGTGTTAATAAAAAACTGTTGAATATTGGTCATAATAAAAATTTATTATTAATAAAATAATAATAACAATATAAATAAATATATATTTAAAGTTTTAATAAAAAGTCAATTAAATAAAACCCAATTAATATTGAAAATAATTATTGATTATTTCCTCTCTTGCTAGAAACGCTTCAGGGACGGGTTCTTGTGTTTCAAAGTCATTATCTTCATTTATTTTTTCGTCCGTGTTTTCTGCGCAGTCAACATCATTAACTTCGTTCATTATATTATGTTTAATAAGGAAGTTATGTAGCACCAAACATGAATTAACAATTTTGGCCGCTGTTTCAGGATCATACATTAAAGTTCTTTCGCTGCTAAGGCAACGAAATCTACTTTTTAATAATCCGAAACAACGCTCAATGCAATTTCTTGCCTTTCGATGTTGCACATTATAATTATTATGTGCCGTCGACAGAGTTATTTCCGCCATGAAAAGCTTACATAAATATTTCGAAAGACGAAATATTTCAATAAAACGCGCATCAGATACAGCAAAGGGGTCTGTGGAATTTCGCAAACATTTTCTTTTCCAACGTAAATGATTTCGTGAATCTCTCACATCACCAGAAAAAAAAATCTCCTTCTTATCAAAAAGTTCATTATTTAATTAATTTACGCACCAATGTTATATTGAATATTAATTTAAATTTCACAATTGCTAAATATTTTTTTGTTGAAGTATGTGCTTTTAAATTTCAAATTTAAATTATAAGTCCAAAAGCTAACATTTGTTTACAATTTTTGTATTTATTTGACATTTCAGTGCATTTCAGCATTATCCGCATCGCCAGATAAATGTAGCGAAGAGATTCTGTTAGCCGAATCGCATAATCGCTAATCCTCCTAAAATAAGCGAATCGCTTATTTAAGAATTTAAGCGAAGAGATTGGAGTTTTAGCGATAGTGATTAGTGGAATCGGCCTGCAGATGTCAGTTTAAAATCTTACCTGCCAATTGGTGTTTAAATTACAAACGAAACTATCGTGTGAATGCAGTACAAAGGAATTCCTGTGGTTTAATACAAAAAACATGGTATTTTTTGCTTAATTATGCTTACGTTCCGTTACACATATCGACACGCGTCATAATGCCGTCTGTCAAACAGTGCATGACAGTATGCTGGTAAGTGTATTTATGGTCTGTATGGGTGCCTGACGATTAATTATATGCTGCTGTGGGGACAATAAATTATTTGTTGACTTGAGTCATGGCTGGAACGAATCGTTCAAAATCTCCATACCATGGTCCTACTATAAAGGCGGTGGAAAAAGAAGAGAGTTTCTGGGATAGATTTAGTACATTAGGCAGAAAGAAGGTATCGAAGGAAGGTATAAAAACAATATTTTTTGTATGGTTTGTTTGTGTGCACTTGTTTGGAAATGTTTCTATAAATACACAAAATTACGTCACTTTTTTTTAGACTTAACGAGGTATTTGTGTACGTTTTGTTTATTTTAATTAATATAGTGATGTCGTTAAATGCAGGCATGAAATGCTATTTATTAGTCCTAATTATGAAAATGAACAGTTTTTTTTATTAAAATAAACTTATTATTGGTTGGTGTTTTGGAATATGCAGATATTCGTTTTTAATGATTTTTGGTAAATTGCCGAATTGTAAAAAACAAATTTTAAAACGCCATATTTATTTATGAAAAGCGTTCATAAAATTTAATCAGTTTATTTCATTAAATAGTTTGTTTTTCTAAGCTATTCTAATTTTAAGAACATAAATGAAGTACAGTTTTATTTAATCATCTGTTTTTGTTTATTACTATTAGGTATACAATATTAATATTAAAGATAAATTTTCAACACCATTTTTATCTTATATATAAGAATTTTGTTTTTGTTATCAAAATGAGTACAAATGAAAAATAAAAATAAATACGTCTATCACGTATATTAAAAACATATTTTTCAGATACTTCTGAATATGTCCTACGTTTAAAATGATTAAATAAAAGTATTTTATATTTGTATCATAAAATTAGACCAAAATAACTGAGAATAAGACAAAATAAATTACAAATCTTTTAACCTAACAGTAAATAGCCTTTTAGGGCAAACATATACGTCGTTTTTTTTATTAAATGGAATTAAAACAGTCACTAAAGTCCATTGCAATGAAATTAACATTTAAATACATACATACAGCGGTCGAAAAAAGAATTCGTCATTAACTAAATTTTTATAAAATGTAATAACAAAACGAAACAAAAAAATTAAAAAAAATAATACAGTTTTCATCGTTTGTATTCTGTTTATTTGTTATAATTGTGTTTATTCCAAAGATTTAACAATAAAATAACAAAAATAGCAATTATTTTGCGAAACACCAAAAATAAAGCAAAAAGAGCATTCGTCATTTATGCATTAAGCTGCACTTTAAACATTATAGAAATGGATTAAGTAAAAAAAATTTGGTGAAATAGCAAATAGTCTAAGAACTACCATTCATTATATTATAAAAAATGAAAAGAAACAAAATCGGTCGAAAACCATCAAAGATCCGGTCGGTTTAAAGTACTTTCCAAAGCGGATGAGCGGTATTTAGTTTAAAAAAATTCTAAAGCAAATGCCATAATTTTTTGTAATAATATTTAGAAATATTTGAGAAAAGAGGTCACACCACAATCTATTCGGAATTTGCTTCAAATTAATGGTTATAGAGGAAGAACTTAACAAAGAAACCATGTGTAAACAAAATCAATAGAATCAAATGGCTACAATTTGCAAAGACATGTAAAAGAGCCAGAATTGTGCTAGCACAATGTGATTTTTTTGGTTAGAGTAAATTCAAAATTATTGGATGCGAAGGCAAGGTAATTGTGTATAGAAAGCAAAATACGGATCTGCAATAACGCAATACAGTTACTACTGTTAAACATGGTGGTGGCAGTGATATGACTTGCGGATGTACCCAGTAGAAAAAGTGGTCTTCGAAGACATTGTCTTCAAGACGGTCTTTGATACCGCGTCCGCATTTTCAAGCAAATTTGCAAAACAATTGCTCAAAACATGAATGTAAATACTCTTTCTTTGCTTTCTCTCTCATTTTTAGTGTTCATAGCAACGTATTTTAATTTTGCATCAGATGACGCTATGTTTTATAAATGAAGTGACGCAATAATTTTGAAGTGTAGTGAATAAACATTTGTGAAATAAATATTAAAAAAATCAAAATAAATAAAGAAACAAAATCATTAAACTATGAAATATTAAAAAAAAAGAAATTAAATCAAAACAAATTAAATAGTGACTTAGTTCCTTGAAAATATATTGATAATAATATTGAAGACAATAATTCCAGTGAAAGTTGTTTAAGAAACGAAACAAAGGATGTTGAAAATAAAAAAACTAAAAACACTTGTGAAAAATTAGCTGTTATATTTAAAAACCACAGGATTAACAGGAGTTGTGGTAATGATATTTTAGAACTCTTAAGATCAGAAGGTTTAATTGTACCAAAATCCTCTTCAACGCTTTTGAAAACATATAAAACTTCAACAATTGATGATAGCGAAATGCTATAAATTATTTTTTATTAGTTTTAGTTAATTTTAGATATGCTAAGTTATATTAAGTTAATTATTTAAATTAATTTTCATTATGTTTACTAGTTTTTACTAGTTTATTTTTAATATCTTAATAAAATTTATAATAATTTATAATAAAATTTATAATTTACTTTTAAAACTTTTAATTTCGAATGTAATGTAAGAAATTATTATATAAAATAAATAAAAGTACAAAATACAACAATTTCTTTCTACTTATTTAAAGAGAAAATTGAAATTCATTTAAAATTTAAAGAGTGCAATAAAAGAGTAGAAATAAAAAAAAGGGTGAAAAAATTATATGAGCACTGCACTAAGAGCGCACAACTTTCTGTCGAATGCGTCCGTTATACAAGACATGGTCTTCGAGACGGTCTTCGAGACATGTACACAAAAATTCATTGAAGACATTTGGCTAATTTGTATGAAAGTGTCTTCGAAGACCGTCATACATTTGGATCGATCGGTCTTCATGTATGTATCCATGTCTTGAAGACGTCTTCGATGACGAATCGATCCGTTTTCTACTGGGTATGTCGACATCTGGTGTGTGAAATATTGAAGTAATAAGTGGAATAATGGATCATAAGTTAAATATATATATATTAAAGAAAAACTTGATGCAAAATTCAGAAAAACGGCATTGGGTATGATTTTCAGTTCTATCAGGATAATGATACAGAGCATTCTGCGTTAAACACTAAACTTTGGTTATTATAGAACTGCAGAAAAGGGATAAAAACATCTCCGCAAAGTCCAGACTTAAACCCCATATAACATCTTTGGGTTCATTTGGAGTCCAAATTAAGAAAACGCAGCTTTTCAAACAAGTAATTGATGCAATAGGTTTAAATGGAAAAATGGGCTAATATAGATCCAGCTATGATAGCAAAATTAGTCCAATCAATGCCAAAGCGTTTAAAAGAGGTACTAAAACGTAAAGAACGTTTAACAAAATATTAAATTTTAGTTATTGTTACTAAAATTACAATCTGTTGCATGAATGACGAATACTTTTATTACTTTAATTTTAGTGTTTCGCAATATAATTGCTTTTTTTGTTATTTAAATTTTAAATAATTTTTGTTAAAGTAAATACAATTACAACAAATAAACACAATACAAACGTTGAAAACTGCATTATTTTTTTTTAATTTTTGTGTTCCATTTTGTTGTTATTATAGCATTTTATAAAAATTTAGTTAATAACCAATACTTTTTTGACCGCTGTACATATGTTCCTTCGAAAATACGTATTTTCGAAATTATAAAAAGCAATAAAAATATCTAAAAGGTTTGGATTTACATGTGTATGTATATATTGCTCATACTTATACTCAGATTCTTACATTTCTGTCGAATAATATATTTAATTTTTTTTTGGTGTTTAGTGCAAAAAATTCAAGATGAAGGAAAATATGCAATTGATTCTCCTGGGTCTCCTAACCAGTATGATATTCCGCCAGAAGACTATGAACTGCGTAAGTAACTTTACGTAATAAAAGTGTGTTTAATTATATAATTTTCATATTAAAGGGGATCTTGAACAAAGAGCTGTTATAGATCCTCAGTCTCTTAATGATCCCGATGTTGTTAAATTGAAACAAGTTCTTATTGATTGGATAAACGATGAACTAGCTGAACAACGAATAATTGTGCAGCGTATCGATGAGGATATGTATGACGGACAGGTACACTATTTGTATTTACAAATTAATTTTTGCAGGTATTATTTATTGATATAGTTTTTTCAATACAGCGATGTACAGATATATAATTGATTATATGCAAGCGTAAGGTTTATACAAAATTTGTGATTGCAGCAAGCCAAATTTGAATAATTTTTTATACTACCATGTTATTATTTCAACTTATTCATTATTTTATGACGTCAAAACCACATGCGTCCACTTCATTATCTAACATTTAAAATGTTTGATTTGTTTTAGGAAATGATGTAAGAATATTTTGAAGTATTTCACTTCTGACAGAGCGCGAAATGATGATAGTAATATTCTGTGAAACCCTCTTGCTTTTGCTGTTCTCGTAATTGTTGTTGACCATAAAGATGAATATTTTGGTTAATATGGATGTGGACTTATGTAGATTGATAAGAAGAAATATGTGATAAGGGAGGAATGTAGATGGATGCAATTTAAATTAGTCTGGGTCTAATTGAAATAATTTAGACAATTCAAAGGGAAGAAGCCGGGAGTCAGTAGTACTGAAGTCAGTGTAAGAAAGAAAACAGTAATTTGAAGAAGTACAACTGCAGTTAAGGCACTCATTGGTATTTATACATAACGATTTAATGTTAGCACGATGGTTAACATGCCATGGCAGCCGGTTGAACTTTACAGTTTATTTAAATCGAAGCACAGAAATATTGCCGAAGCCGCGTTCAAAAATATGTTGGTTGAAGATTCAGTTTGCATTTTCTATGTTTCTGTAAATTTTTTTGTTGTAGCATCAATATAGGCGTCGGTATATGAAATAGGTGTTATAGAGATGTATTCTGAAAAATTGTGTACTGTAGCAGATAATATTATTGTGTTTAACTCTTCAATTTATTTTTTCACATTCTCGAATTCTGATGACAAAATAGTCCTTATGGCTGACTATTGAATGTAAGTGGTAAAGCCGGTCAAGTGTCAACAGCAAAAGAGTAGCAAAAGAGTGAGAAATCAAAAGTTTAATGTGGATGCATATGAAGCCAAAAGCAATTGTATATTGTTATATACAATTGCTTTTATTTATATTTTATAAAATATGATTTATATGAAATGTATACAAGATCTGATTTAATTTAATTTAACTATAATTTGTTTATTCTGAAAATTTTTTTATTGTTGATAAAATGATTATAAACATAAACAAATATTTACAAAATATTGAACATTTTAAAATAACTGTTATGTTTTGATATATGTCTTAAAATCACTGATTTACATTTAAATAATTAAAAGTAAATTGATCAATTAAATGTTAATGAAAAATGTTTATATAACACAGAAAGTGTGGTAAATATGATTCGTTCCGTTTCTATCATTTTACTGTGATTTTGTTCAATTTTTTATTGTAATTTAAAAATCCGAATCGATTTCATAAAATTTGATTAACCTATTTTGTTCCGTATTCGAGTATATATTTCGTAAAGTAAATACTCGTAAATATTTCTTAACATTACATTTACTTAATTATCAGCAAAATTTCTACTTCTTTTTTATATCACTAAACAACTGAATTAAAATTAAAAGTACCTATATATAGTACCTATATTTTTTTCAAACTAATGCAGAAAAATTAATATTAATGTTTTGCTTAATATATTTATACAATTCTTAAAATTAAAATTTTTTTTAAATAAAATAACTATAATCATTTAAGTAACCGTCCATAAGGCATTTCAAAAAAAAATCGTTTTTGCAAAACTAGATAACTATTAAGTTAAGTTTAGCGTTTTCAGATTCAATGCAGCCAAATTCAAAAATCAGTCTATTGTGAATGTTCACTGGAAATATGTTGCGAAATTCCAATCATCCGCAAAATACATATGAGCATTTCATTTAATAAAAAATTCAAATACATAAATAAATATAAATATAAGATAAAAGTGCTAACCATTGCCGTTCTAATATTTATTTTGTTTTGTTTTAGTTAAATTAATTAATTTATAATGTTTATACAATTCTTATGTTTTATATTATGCCTTTTATTTTGTAAGCTATTACAAAAGAGCAACTGCTTATTTTTAAAATATCATATGAAACAACAATAATGCTCGCTTATTTAATCTTTAATGGAAATGTTATTTATTATTTATTAATTATGTACAAAATTTTAAACCATTAATTTCGCTTATTTAATGTTGCTGCGCAACGTATGCTGAACACTGCTCTGAATTGACTTCTGAACTGCTTTGAACTGCACTATGTGTGTTCGATTTTGCTTTGTCTATTAATTAACTCTTAAACAGATTTATTTCAATGACTTCGTTGATAATTTTTACCGCCAATACTTTTGTTTATGCAACTACGGAAATGCAAGCCAAGTATGTCGAAAGAGCGTTGTCCAAAAAATATCTAAAGCGTCGTTTTGTGTTTTTCTCCTTTTTAATTATGCTGCCACAGTGCTTTACGTTTTAGTCGTTTTATGTAATGCTACCATAAGTCCAACCTTTTTGAAATTGTTTAACTAATAAGCAGCTTAAATCACTTAGTTGCTAACACTAAAAATTCGTCTATTGTGAACGATTTTTGGAAGTACATATGAAATGTCCAGTTATCTGTCAACCAATGATTTCATTAATTATTCGTATTACGTGTCGTCATTGTTCGTAACAAATACGTTATTTTTTCTATGTATTATTTTACTGTTAAAAGGCACGAAAAATTATATTCATAATCATGTAAAAAAAATATTCTCATCAATAATTGCAAAGAATTATTAGGGGTATTCACTCTCTCTTGCAAACTCATTGCAAGGTGCACGAAATGCACAGATTGTACGAGAATGCAAATAACAACAAAATACACGCACAAAATTTCGTGCAATTGCGTGCAATCTTCCAATGCTGAAACCTATGTATATTTGCTTGCAACAAACCAGAAATGGCGGAAATCAGCTGTTTTGTCATTTGTTGCTTCTCTTTTTAAATTTGAATTGACTGTTAGTAAAATTTCGAGATATATTAATCTATGGCTATGCTATATACATGCGTTTCGTTCAATAATTTAAATCGATGTGACCATTAATTAAGTTTTCACAAATATAATCTTATATATATAATTCTTCTGTACGTGTGTTGACAGTGAACTCCTCCTAAAGGGCTGAACCGATTTTGATGAAATTTTTTGTGTGTGTTCAAGTGGATTCAAGGAAGGTTTAGATTCACAATTTGGCCCACTGGATAATGTCTTTTTAATCAATTTTTTATTTTTTGGTATCCATATACATTTATATTAAAAATTTAAAATTTATTCATGCTTACTTTGATTTGTTTAAAAACTTTAAAATCTCTAAAATGAATGGTAAAACTGACGTTGCATAGCTTAAGTGCATTTAAATTCCGCAGCATAATTATAGGTGAGCCAATTTTTAATCTTAAGTTATGTGGTGGTATTCCTGGTAAATCCAGCGAATTCAAAAATTCAACACACAAAAAAGAAGAATTATATATATAAAGATATAAATATCGTACAAAAGACAATGCCACGTCTTCGTGGACGAGGAGGAAATATTGGTCGACGGACTCGGAATTCACAATTACTCCAGAACCGTCGGTTAAATAGATCGGCAGAAAACAATGAAGATGTAAGAAACCAGGATACAATTACACGTGCTAATGAAAGTCAAGAGCAACGCAACGAACGCCAGGAAAATTAATTGCAAGGGGAAACAACGTTCGCCGGGTCAGCTAGTATTATATACATATACATTTGTGAATTAATTTATCTATTTATCAATTTCAGCGAAACTTACGAAAATTTGTTCACATTTTGAACTATTGAATGAAGTGTTTGGACGCATGTCTAATTTTGTACGGAAACATTGCCATAGCCACCAACTAGTTCTGCGCTAGGCAACGAAGTTTTTTTTTTATTGAATCGTCTGCAGACAACACATCATCCAGCTCTGCACCGAAAGTCGTGCGTTCTGCTGTGCAAAGCCCCACTACCCCCCTCGATAAAAAATATAACAAATAACAATAATAAATTAAGAATTAGTTATATTTTTATTATACTAATTATTTTTATATTATATTATTATTACATATATCTCCAACAACAAATAATGTAGCGACTTTACGAATAGCCGCATTTTCGCCTGATGAACCCAAACGATATAAAACAATAGCAATCCTTAATAGTTTATTATTGAGACTATTAAGGAAAATATGTTCCAATTTACTCTAAGCATCTGACAAAAACGGCCTTCATCAAATTCTTGAAGAATGGTAGATCTCCATTGAATAGATTTTGGTACGGGTTGGCGATTTCCGTGATGGTTTACTAAAGTAAACAAAAGGTCTTCATTTAATTGCTCCATCACTTCCCAGTAATTTGCATCATCTAACAAATAGAAACTATACAGTAGTGAAAACTACATTAACAACGTGTTAATACCTTCAATCAAAATATTAAAAGCACTATTTTCAATTAAAAAATCTATACATTTTTGTATTTCACTTGTTCGCGGCATTGTTATACTTTTATTTTTCTTTGCTCAATGTGAATCGACTGCAAAAACAGCTGATTCATTTTGATGATACAATTCTGCAACAGAGGTGTTCTCGCAGTCTTGCAGTTTTTGCATAGCATTCTTGCATTTCGTGCTCCCTGCAATGAGTTTACAAGAGAGAGTGAATACCCCTATTAATTTTCAAAATTTCACTTTATTGCACATACAAGCCTAACAAAATCTCCATTTTGAACAGAGTTGCCATCAAAAGTGGTGCTGATATGATTTGTTCTTTTGCGACATGCTTACAAAAGAAAAGGCCTAATGTATATAACACAGAAAAAACATATGTCAAAAATAAGCTTTTAACATATTTTAAAAATGGCAATTTGTTTCAACCAGACTAAATGCTGTTTTTTTTACAACTCTGGAAGAAAATTTGTGTATCTAAGCATATAAATTTATCAAAAGTATAATTTTATGCGTTTACGTACACTTTTATATAAACGCACTTAGTTAAATATTTCATTTCTAATACTTAAATAAAATACCGAAAGATATTTTTGTTGAGTTGCTTATG